AAGTCAAGCGGTTTCAAAGCCTCAGTATCAGACCCTACTACATGTAGGTGTTGCACTTAGTCCAAACCCTCCCTTCCTACCTCCACCCCCCTTGTACCCACACATACTGCTAAGCAGAGGACCCATGTGCTACCTGACAAGGAAAGCAGCAGGCCCAAGGAGAACTACTCACAACTCTCTTCTTTCTACTATCTGCTCTACCTCTTTCAGTGATGGGATTGCTGAAGGATTGGGCTGTCTGCATGTGTGGTGTAGAATGATTCTCTCCTCCCAGGAGGAAGTCCAAGAGGTAGACAAAATTTAAGTAGAAAGAAATGTAAATAGACAAGGCAGCCTTTAAAAACCAAACTGCTGTCCAGATATCCTCCATCCACGTGGAACAGCTTTCAACATATTTATGGTAAATATTTACATCAGTTGCTTATTAATGTGACCTAGCTATTTTTTTGAGACTAGATTGTTCAGTTAGTTGTATAGTTTAAGGGGAGAAAGGCAAGCCATCTCCTTGTTCCTAGGATTCATTTGCACAGTAAGCAATTTAAAAAGGAAATGTTTGAGTAGCAGACACCCACCAGCAGATTTATCAGGAAGGCATTGGTGAGGAAAGGACACGTTGCATCCATAGACTAACACAAGTAATTAATATCTACAGTGTCTTTGGCAAGAACTAAGGCGAAGCCAGAGCTATAAGCTTAGTCAACCCCAACTGTGAGTTCCTTCACCTCTAATCAGTGTCCCATGCAAGGTCTGATGTGTATGCGTTAAAACTGCAGAAAAGCAGCCCAACAGCTAAGGCCAGGTGCTAGACTACCTCTTACCTGGTTTGTAGGTTTTAAGAGGCTTGTGTGTCAGGCTGTTGATGATATTTGTCACCACGATGTTGGCATGGAGTCCAGCGTGGTAGGCCATCTTTGGCTCTTTCAGATCTGCACAGTCCCCAATGGCGTAGATGTTCTCATAGCCTTCCAGCTGGAGGTGCTTGTTAACTTTCAAAGCACTGTTACTTGCCATTTTGTCTCCTGTTTTCCAAACAGTAAGTTTTCAGAAGAAGCTTTGTGTTGCTTGTTGTGGCCCAAGACAGATGTTATCAAACATGTCATTGACACAAAGCGAGTTTGTTTTTCACCCTCTTTTCTACGTGTTAGGGAAGAGATGTTTCTTTTTGCCTTGCTGTGGTTAATTATTGCAGTCTCGTGCAATGAATAATCCTTTGAAATTTCAGTAGAAACATAAGAAACATTAAGAGCTAGTGTACAAAGCCTGAGAAGGAGGCTGTGTAGTGGTCATGTTGCTCCATGGTTGTAGTGCCATAACTGAAATTGAGCTGTAAGAGGACTTAGACTGAAGGAGTATCAATTACTGGTCGGCTGAATGGCCTGTGACATTGATAGTTCAGCAAGAAGGCTGAATGTGCTGAGCCTGCTTTTGCACAGAAATTGGCAAGCTTCTATCTAGGATGAACTCCTGGCCTTGACAACAGGAGTGACCATCAACTATGTGCCATTTGCCTCATGCCGAACTAGGACACTAAGGTTCCTTGGAGGTATTAGCAGAAGGAGCTGGAGAAGACTGTTGGCCACTTGATCTATGGTCTGTAGGTTTCAGAAGGTCACATTTCACAGTTAAGTGTTTAACATGTTGTTAGAGCATTTGCTGTATCATGGAATAACCACTGCAGGTTGTATAGGGTTGATTCCTAACCTCACAGTACTCAAGTACAAGACATTGAAGAACTATGGTTCTTTTCCCCACCCAGTGGTTTTTTTTTTTCACTTACCAAATGCAGCGGCATATGCTGAAGAGTTAATCTTTATCCCTGTGCACAGGATCACCATGTCAGCAACCACCTCGGTGCCCTTTTCTGTCCTTACTACCATGTCTTTCTGGAACCGGTTTGTTGTGAGGTTTTCCACATTGCTGACCCTTTCACCTGTTGTGACAGAGAGCCCTGGCTCACAAATCTTTATGAGGCTGCTGTTTCCAGCTAGCCCAGGTGTATCTAGAGAAACAGGAATTCAAGGGAGCCATGCTTAGTCAAAAAAGTCAGAAAGAGGATGACGGAAAGAGATACTTCGGCTAAAGGAAGAACAGCGTATAAAGCTTCAGAGTCTAGATCTTCAGAGGCATCGTTAAGTACGTACTTAATAGAAGGTGCACTCCTTTTCTGAGGAGAATCTCTTTCACCTCCTGACGGACGCTATCTAGCAGCTCTGCATCAGCTAGCGCAATTTTTGAGTGAATGAGGGTGACCTGTTGGGGACAAAACAGTGAACAGGGGGACACAGCAAGGGGACAGGACTTGCCGTGTGCTGGGCAGGAGCAGCTATAGCTAGCTTTCTTCCACCCCGCTCAATGCCCGAGGAGAGTGAGCCAGTGAAAGGCACTTAGTGCCCATAATTGCTCGGAAGGGCACTCTCGGAAGGGGAGGCAGTGGGGACAAAGGCTGCCATTGCATGGCAACTCCTGATTTGCAGTGATCTGCAGCAGGACCATAACAGAAGAACAGTCTCAGAAACAAAGATGAAGTTAATTGTAACTAATATGCTGCTACCTCTTTGGCTGGGTACTCTGTTTTGATCTCTGCAGCCATCTCTACTCCAGCAGCACCGCCTCCCACTACCACGATGTGCTCAGATTTCTCAATCTTCAAGAAAAGAAGAAACTTGTGTTATAAGAGAACTGTTACATGCAGGAAGTCAGATACCTTCAGCCACTCCATGAACAGACTTTGCTGAGATACAGCACTGGCCCAACAGCAATACACCAGCTGCTTTGTTAAGAGGAAACAAAAAATGAGAACCCCAGGCACTCTTCCTGTGTACACTGTAACATTGTTGAGCGTTTCAGGTTTCCTTTTATGCAGACAGCCAGGGCACGCAGGACACTAGACAAGCTAGCCCATGCTCCTTGTCCTGGCCTGTCCCTGCAGGCATTATGTTCTCTTGTTAGACACAGATGGCTTCAGATAGCCATAGTGGTGTCTGGGACAGGGAATCTGAATAAAGGCAAGCAACACTTCCTAGGAAACAGGTTGATTCCTCACCTCCTTAACCATGTCTTCATAGGTCTGGATGGCGCTTTCCATGTTAATAACTTTGTTGAACTTCCCAGGGAATGGCCCATCACTGCCTGTTGCAAGAATGAGATGGGAGTAGTGAAGCTCCTGGGAGGACAGAAGGTGGAAGAGGATGTTAGACCTCTTAAAAACAGAGCTGAGAACACATTTGTTGCCTCCTAGGTACTATTCACTCATTCCATCTCCTCCAGCCCCCACTGATAACTAGGAAAGTACTTGCCACTGTCACAAAGTGACTTTAGGAAGAGACCTGGTCCGAGTGACACCAAGTAACTGCCTTCCTCAGGGTCTGAGAGAAGCACCATTCCTCAGATGAGATGACAGCTTTGAAAAAATTACCCTAAAATTACAGGAAATAACCTGATATTTATGCCAAACACTGAAGCTACCATCATAGCTGGCTCTCCTTCACCCTCTTCTGAACATAGATGCAGTATTGTGGCTGAAAAGAGTTATCAGAGCTGTTGTCCTTGTTTCTTTCCCCAGTTAGATAAGGGTTTGAGCTCCAGGGTTAATTGTTGAGCTCTAAATGCCCTTGTTTCTTCCTGCAGTTAGATAAGGATCTGAGCTCCAGGGTTAATTGTTGAGCTCTAAATCCAGCTCCAAGAATAAAAGCTCATCTGAGCACTAGATGGGGTGTGGTATTTACTGCACACCCACATCCCAACACAGCTTTAGGCCACTTAGCTTGGCTACAATGGATGGTGCCATTCAGTGTATGCGGGGAAAGATGGTCTCTGTTGTCAAGCTCTTCGAGATGATTTAATGCTAGTCTTTCCCTGTATTGCCTCTTGGTTTTAGAGGAGATAGCTGGGGGCCTGCTTTTCTCTGGGGCAGCCCTCTATAGAAGTAAGTCATTGGTTTCATTCCCCTCTACCTCCTAGTGTTACAGGGCCAGTATTAAGCGTAAGGGTTTGTGTATCTGCCCACAGGTGGCAGAAACCTAGAGGGAAGCAATCGGTGACTTCCCAGAGGGCTTGGATTGTGGCTTGTTTGGGGTCAGGCATTTCAGCCAAGTTGAGGGTTATATCAGAACAGGAACCCTGTTGTGCGTGTGAACTCGGAGCCC